AAACAAACAAACAAACAAACAAACACAAACAAACAAACAAACAAACAAACAAACAAACAAACAAACAAACAAACAAACAAACAAACAAACAAACAAACAAACAAACAAACAAACAAACAAACAAACAACAAAATTTTACCTGCAATGATGACCCCAACAGCTTGACCAGCATAGTCTACTTCTCCATCGCAAAATATCTTTTCGTTCGATTCGAAAGCACCAACGAAATTATTCACGCCTGGAATATCTTTCGCGGTGACAAATTTTAGCACACCAGGCATGCTCTAAAAATTACGAGATATTGATTTACCAAACAAAATTCGTCTTCGCGTGAATTACAAGTGTCTACATAGTTCATCCATTGACTATTGCATGAGAGTTAATGAGAGTTGAGAAGCGAGAGTTTATGAGAGTTGAGAAGTGAGAGTTTGCATGAGAGTTGAGAAGTGAGAATTCACTTTACCCTGGGCTTTACATTGAAAGGGACAATCAGTCAGACGGATGATGGTCGTGGAAAATAAAAAAAGATTAGTGAAGAATACAAAATGATAAATTCACATACCATAGCCTCTGAGGTATCAATATTTGCAATTTTACAGTTGCCCTAGAAAGACATTCATTTAGTAAACTCAGATGCTCCTAGGCAGGTGAGCTATCAATTCACTCGCACATTATATAATCTATATGCTTGGATACCTTCCATTTTATGCTTACATTATCAGAACAGTGGTAACTAATGCGAGTTATCTCACCCAATTCACTCACATATACATTATAATCGAAATGCTTGGATATCTTTGTTCCATTTTATGCTTAAATTATCAGAACGGTGGTAACTACAGTAGGCATGTAACGGGCATAAGCCTGCATGAGCTGATTATGTCTATTGCCCATTACCTTTGTCGTGGTAACAAATGCTCCATAAACTTCCCCTTGACGTTTGGGAATATCATCCGTATACTGTGCTTCGCCTGATGCCTGACGAAGAAGATAACAAAATTTGAACGCTGAAAACATGTCAGGCACAGTGCATGGTTACATGTGTCTTTCTTCTGTGACTGATTCCCACAATATACAGTTGTCTGATTATAATTTCACCTCAGTCCCATGTGAGAAGAGTGGTGTTTGACTCTACCAGACACCACAGGTTTTCTTTCGGTACTGTGATTTCCTCCTGTAGTAACATTGAAGCAACAGAGATGACCCTTACTGGACCTCTAAGAAGAACAGTTTAGAACTGATAGAGCTATCCAGTATAAATAAAGTTAGTTTAGTTTAGGTTTCCTCCTGTAGTAACACTGATCAATAAGAGATGATCCTTACTGGACCTCTAGGAAGAACAGTTTAGAACTGATAGAGCTATTCAGTACTGGATTAATAAGGGATGACCTTTACTGGACCTCTAGGAAGAACAGTTTAAAACTAATAGTGCTATCCAGCATTCTAAATAAACTTAGTTTAGTCTGGTTAAAAAAGTCTTTTACCTGTAATTTCGCAGTGATTTTCGTCATTGGCTCAGTCAAAGGATAGTCACTGGCAGTGGTATCATAACTCTGCTGACCTGAGGAAATCGGTCGAACATAAGGCAGTGCAGCCGAACGTACTCTTTCGTTAGCTTTGTCACCAAGCAAGGCAAGATAAAACTATTGAATTAAAACACACAGTATAGAATTAGTCAGTCAGCACTGATATAGTGTGAGCCAACATGCCAGTTATCAGAAATAAGGTTAAATTCTTGGAAACATCCTAAATTGGTTTGAACATTTACCTTGTAAAACAGGCCTATTGCTAAACTCTTGCGGTATTCCACACTTGTGGTCAGAGGTGACGATTCTGGAACTATTTCCTCATCCAACGCACTTAGACAACCTACAAATAGTTAAAACAAGATTAAAAACTAAACGAAACTAACTTTATTTATACTGGATAGCTCTATCAGTTCTAAACTGTTCTCCCTAGAGGTCCAGTAAGGATAATCTCTTATTGATCCAGTGTTACTACAGGAGGAAACCTAAACTAAACTAATTTTATTTATACTGGATAGCTCCATCAGTTCTTAACTGTTCTTCCTAGAGATCCAGTAAGAGTCGTGTCTTATTGATCCAGTGTTACTACAGGAGGAAACCAACACTAAACTAACTTTATTTATACTGGAGAGCTCTATCAGTTTTTAGCACATTCAATTAAAAAATACGCCAATAATTGGGTCAACTTCTTAAATCTATTTCTCTGTATTAATACCTTTCAGTGTCGCAGAGTCCAGAAGACTCTTTCCAGCAAGATATTTTTCTGTTTCACTGGCTCGCATCTGCACAAAGATATATGAATATGAAATCTAGTAAGTGTTATTTAAATTACTGAAAATCTTTATTTTGTGGTACCCAATGTTAATAGTATGCTACAACAATACGCTGCCGTGGATTGTGTCTGAACTTTCCGAAAGATTAAAACATTTCAACGATTCAAATTCCTTCGTCAAGACATCTTCACTCAAAACGTTGAAGATGTGTTAGATAAATCATTCAAAATAAACCACGGCAGCTTATAATGGAATAGTACATACTGACCATTCTTCAGAAGTTTTGATATTGTTACTTACCGGAGAAAGTTTAACTCCACCAAATACCAAACTTGGCGTTCCTTGTACGGTATAACTTGAATCCTTTGAAACTCGGAATCCGGCGTTCACATACGCATGAGCATTCTGAAATGATTATACCACTGAATTAGTCCCCACATAACTGGTGGTGATAACCCTGGGGTGCTGGTCGCACACTGAGCTGGTTTGTGCAGTGTATGTCCCTTCCACCTCCGAAACCGATTACCATCATCATCATCATGACATCATCATGACGTCATCATCATCATGGCATCTTCATAATCATGACATCATCATGACCATGACAGCATCATCATCATGACATCTTCATCATCCTGTCAACATTTTCATCATCCTGTCAACATTTTCATCATCATGACATCGCCATGACATCATCACCATGATATCATCAACATCATCATGACATCTTAATCATCATGGCATTTTCAACATCATGACATCATCATGATGACATCATCATGATGATGACATCATCATCATCATCATGACATGATCATCATCGTCATGACATCATCATCATCATCATCATGACATCATCATCATCATCACTGTCAACATCACTACCAGCAACCACCAAACCAACATTACCATCACCATAACAATCACCATCAGCAATCACCACCACAATCCTAACCACTGCCATCACCAGCACCATCACAAGGTCCATTACTGCACGTCTTAAGGAGAACAGTTTAAAACTGATAATGCTTTCTATGATTTATAAAATTGCTCTACTGTCTAAGATACCTGATGCCTTGGCATTATCTTAAACGTTTTCACAACTTCGTCCTCAGCTGAGAACGGCACATTGATACTGAGAATCACCTGTCAATAAAATAAAATGTATAGTGGAGAGAACATACTGTACAAGCTCGGAGTTCAAGATTTCTATATTCAGTTCATGTACAGTGTTTATAATATGAACAACACAATGCCTTACCTTGCTTTTCATGTCAACTGACAAAAATTCTTCCAAACTGTAAGACTTGGTCGAAGCGTCAACGGAACCTAATTTCAGATTTAAAAAATATAACCATCGCATCTTACCGTTTCAAATCAGAAGACATATTTCTTATAACTTACCAATGGTCAAGGTGGCGCCAACTGCCGACATTATGGTAAACATGTCTGAGGGAAACTCGCGATGATTGTGAACCAACATGAGATTACCAGCCCAACATCCGATCTATTTGAAACAATGGATAATACATGGTATTTTAACCTGTGCACCCAGAGGGTTCAATTCCTGCAGTTGGCTTTCATATTTACAATATCCACTTGTCTTTAGTAATACTTGGCCAATAAGGAATGATTGTTACTACAGAACGTCTGGAGAGAACAGTTTAGAGCTGATAGTATATTCAAGCCCTTCTAGGGGAATGAGGCGAGTAATTCGTTGAGGAGCTTCGGTGGTGCAACCATCACAGCAAGCGCATTTCACCTCTGAGATCGTGGGTTGCGTTCTCGATGCAGAGTCATGATACTGATGTGAAAAGAGTCAGTCAACGCTCTGCCGAAAGTCGTGGGTTTTCTCCGGGTACTCCGATTTCTTCCCACAGGGAATGTTGACAGGGTGGGTTGGGATTAGCCCCTAACTGACCCTTTCACCGTAGCTGTGCTCCCGTGATCAGACATGAGTCATAAGGTGGCTGCCAGAAGCGCCCTTAGAAAGCTTTCGACTCGATCAGGTTGAGCTGCGTCCTTCGCAATTTAGCTTAGCTCTCAGCTGCAAGTAAGGATGATTACAAATTGATAACATTCCACAGACTTACATTTCTGACTGGAACGTTGGCAATCTACAAATTAAGAACATCAATCATGTAAGTTTGACACAGAATGTTAATTGCAGGACGGTTTTGTGGATGGAGATTTTGAGTGTGCATTTTATACATTTCTTAGACCCAGCCAGGTGCAGCTGCGAAAAAATGCAACTATAGGTCCTCTCGCAGGACATAATTAAAGGGGCAATGTCACCGATTTTTTACCTAAAATGCCTTTTATTCAAAAACTGAACTACAAAGTTAAAAATAAACATTGTAAATGGATTAAGTTATGATATATGGATCATACGTACTATTTAAAGCACGCGTAGGAGTGTTTTATCACATATAAAACACGACGCGTAGCGGAGTGTTTTATATGTGATAAAACACGACTACAAGTGCTTTAAATGGCTTCAAAAACGACTCATCTTATACGAGTTCATTGGCGAAGTAATTTTTAAAATAAACTTTGTCTAAACCGAGAAAATCAAAGCTAAAGTTTATTTAAATTAACATGGTTTTTTATCACATATAAAACCACGACACGCTTATGATTTTTCTTTGTGTTTTGCTCCTGAATTATTAATGAGTTTTTGAAATGTATTAAACAACTTTGAACTTCCACGCAACATGTAACATGACATTTTCATAAAAATTGACTAAAACTTGAAAAAATGTCTGCCAACAATTAATCAAAATGCTATTTACAATCAATTATCCATCTCAATCCTGGCGTAATGTTGCCCATCCAGACTTCTGTACATGTGTTTTGTGTCTGTTATTGCTTTATGTTGTGCTTACACTCATTCTTTTTCAGTTTTGGGCAAAATTTGCGAGCGTTAGATTTGATCAAAAATCGGTGACATTGCCCCTTTAAAGCTGAATTTGAAAGATGTTAAATATTGCACTTCACTTGATTGAACTTGAATGCTGGATTTGGTGGATAATCCAAGTGGGTATTTATATACACACTATTTAAGACCTAACCAGAACGACTGCGAAAAATACAACACTAGAACCTCTGATAGGAATTGAACCTACGGCCCTGCGATTCCAATGCAGCGCTCTAACCAACGGAGCTACAGAGGCCAGCTGTTGAGCTGTATATATAGATTTAAATGCTTACTTTCTTTATATGAGTTGCAAGAACATCGAATGATTTAGATTTCTTAGAATTACTTGACAATTCTCGAATCACAGTGTTCAGAGAAAGCGCAGCGCCAAGTTGTAAAGCGGAATCCGTCACCTAGCAATTCCAGGAACATCAATTAAACACACACATTATGTCATGTAGAAACAATCGTTTAGCCAAAGGACTACCATATACCTGAACGACATTCAGCTCAGGAATGTCAGAAATATTGATGTAAACATTGAAATCACCGTCATTCTTGTATACTCCTGAAAATGAGATTTGTATTTTATATTGGAAAGTTCTATAATTCTAAACTGTTCTTTGTAGAGGTCCAGTAATAATCATCTCTTATTAATCCAGTATTACTACAGGAGGAAACCTAAACTAAACTAACTTTATTTATACTGGATAACTCTATCAGTTCTAAACTGTTCTCCCTAGTGGTCCAGTAAGGGTCATCTCTTATTGATCCATGCAGTGTTACTACAGGAGGAAACCTAAACTAAACTTATTTTATTTATACTGAATAGCTCTATCAGTTCTAAACTGTTCTTCCTAGATGTCCGGTAAATATCATCTCCTATTGATCTTGAACTATGAACAGTTCTTCCTGGAGGTCCAGTAAGGATCATCGCGAATTGATCCGGTCTTACTACAGGAGGAAACCAAGACTACCCTTAGTAAATTCGAACTGGGAGGGCGCTTGAACTGAAGTGAATTTATAATCAGACAACAGCACAGCACATATTGGTCACAGAGATTAAGACAAATGAAGACATTTCCACCAACAATAACTATGTCGCCAACAAATTGTCAAAATTCTTTCACCTGTTCCAGTGTTTCCAGCAACCAATCTGACGGAGTCAGAGGAATGGTCATTCAGAATCGTATAGAGATCAGTGAGAGACGAAGGTTTATACCACTGTGGACCAGCCAACTGTTCCATGTTGAAACAACAACCATGACACGTCCTCGTCTCACTACAACAGTTGCCTTTGCCCTGGCAGCCTTGCAAGTCCTGGAAATATATAACTTGGTCAGGTCATAATTAACTATGGTCAGGTAAGATGTAGACTGGACACGCTCATGTCTAACAAATATGTACAGTACCTCAATATCAATCGGCTTTTCATCTTTAGCAAATGATTTCATAGCATCCAGAATTGGCCGGAAACCTATGAAAAAAATGGTACTTAAATTAGTACCTAGTATACTGTATATGAACAAGCTTTTGTTGGTATATATTTTTCAGGTAGTTGCATCTGTACTTTAAAAGTCTTATGTTTTGTCAGATGTGTTGAAGATTACCACAAACTGATACAAAAACGTCTTTTGCTTAAGCTTCCTAGTATCTCCTCAGTTGCAAGTGTAAATTTTGAATTACTGTACCAGTACAACGACAGAGATTGCCATCAAAACTATCTTCAATTTCCTGTTTTGTTGGTTGAACATTCTCCGAGAGTAAGCTAGGAGGAAATAAAATGAAAGAAAACATTGTTTGGTATTGATTGTACCAATGAGTTGAAGCATGTACGACTATTTGCATATGTACCTATACATATTCATGACCATTCCAGGTGTGCAGTAACCACATTGACTCCCATTGTGTTCAGCGATACGTTCTTGAATTGGATGATAACCGCTGCGACTGCTGCAAATTTTATGACAATTTATACTGTAAGTACCAATGTATTTCCTTTATTTTTTACACTTATTTGAACTGCAGTAGTTCTAAACTTCCTAGAGGTCCAGTAAAGGTGTTCCCTTATTGATCCAGTGTTACTACAGGAGGAAACCCAAACTAAAATAAGTTTATTTATACTGTATAGCTCTATCAGTTCTGAACTGTTCTCCCTCCAGTGTTACTATGGGAGGAAACCTAAATTAAATATTATTTTTTACTGGATATAGCTCTATCAGTTCTAAACTGTTTTTCCCTAGAGATCCAGTTCCAGGCTTTTATTGATCCAGTGTTACTACAGGAGGAAACCTTTCAAATATCATTCAGTTCTATCCAACGTCGCATGTACCTGCCAATTCCTTCTGTCGTTGTAATCTTAAATCCATCAGCAGCAAATAAAGGAAATAGACACTATATGGAGATTAAAAACCATTCTGTCATGCAGACTGTAGCTTTTCTAACAGAGAAGTCTTAAAGACTTCCAACTTCGCTCGATCACATAAATGCTTCAACTTACACTGTTCACAGCAATCGTTTTCTCTTTGCCTGTAACGAGATCTTGTTTCGTTAATGCCACAACACACGAACCACAGCCACCTTCCTGACATGTTACTTTGGTTCCTGAACATGTCGTTAAACACACAAAATATATAAAATCATTAATAGTCATCGACTCCCTTACTTACTAACCAACCGACATTCTAATGAGTCTGTTGACTGGTTGGTTGACCAACTGGTGCTGGTTCCATGAAGGCTTTATTTTGTGATTTTTTCAACCACTGCAAAAATGCTTGAAAAACTATAAAACTATGGATATGTGGCCCTCACAATAACAACAAGAAACTTTAATTTATAGATACTGGAGTTTAATCTGGGTTATTCAAATCAACAGATAATTTTAGAAAGCTTGAACAAAATCACTTTATATAATTACTACAGTGAAACATGCAATTTGATTGGTCAATAGCCGTGCAGGATCAGGCTATCCTGCACGAAGAATTAAAATGCCTTTGCGGGATTTTTGTAGGATTCTCAAAATGTCATTGTTTCACTGTAGTTACAGTACTTTATAAAACAATTACCAAATTGTTTTTCAAGCAGGCTACTAGGCTAGGGTGATCCATGCACTTGGGATGTAAAAAATACAGTCACCTGTGGTTCGAGTATTTTTACGCTTACCGAAAGTCTCACGACATCCCTCATGCATGGATCACACAATCATGCACGGAAAACCATTCGGTATTCCTTTAATCTGGTGAAACCAACTCAAGACTAACCCACTACCTGCTATCATCACTTACAATTTTTTGAGAAGTCTAAATTACGATGTAATGCACTTGTCAATTGTAACCCCCACCCCCCAACCTCGGGGAAAGGTAGGACATGTGGGGCGTTTTCCCTCTTTTGACTCTTAGTTACGCCTGACTAGGTGGGGAATTTTCCTCTTATGGATCCTCGACCCTGGTATGTGGGGCATTATGTGGGAATGTATACAACCCACTTGCAGGCTAAGATTGTCCTTTTCAATGGTCCTTTAAAGTCAATTTTCTGGAGCAGGTAATTTTTTCAAGTATTGTCCCCATGCATGGGTTGGGGGATTAGACAAGATTAGTCAGGTCAGCCTACCTCAGGGGGTGGGGCAATAGTTGAGTGTGTATATATTAAAAATCAATGTCCCCACATTTCCCTCAAGGTTGGGGGTGGTGGGGGGGGGGTGTTGCAATTGACAAGTGCATTTATAAGATGACCATCTGTGACCATCACCTTTCAGTCCAGGCTGAGATCTCAACCATTCATTCAAAGACGTCTTGGCACTTGTGTTAGAAATACTGTATGTCACGCCATTTACTTCAACGTTTATCGCAGCAACTGGGCTCCCCATCATTCTGGGATAATCAATGATAACGTGTTCGTCGTGGTCAGCGTGAAACATCCAGAGCAAATATAATTACCTCAGATTTGGGATCTAGGTCTAACAAAAAAATCCTATGTTCTCCATTTCCTATCTGGAAAAAACTAGGATAGTTTAGGATAGGCAGGTTGGAAAATTATTTTCTGAAATTTCCCTGGATATTGGCTAGCAATAACATAATATCTGATTAATTAACATATGCATACTTAAAACCAGTGAGGGGTAGTTAGGGTCTGAAATTTGCAGTATCCCAATGGACAACTTGCATGTTAGACTAAATTTTAATCTAAGTAAAGAGAAGGGAATCAGACACAACAGTTAAAAAGTGTTAATGAATTAAATTAGTAAAATTGCAAAATTTTGTTGCAAAATGTTACTTTTTTATGCCTAAATCAAAAATTAGTCTAACATGCAAGTTGTCTATTTATCCACAAGATACTAAAATTTGGTTTCGGATACCAAACTGTGAATGACTAGTATCCCAACTGCATGGATACGAAAAGAATTTCAAACATTAGGAAATTGTTAAAATTAAGCACCTCTGACAGTCTCCTGATAGCTTTTGAATACTAAGAGTTTGGCACCCAAGCCTTTCCTCATATTATGTCCATTTTTGGTGTATTATTTAATGAATTATCTGTTGTTGACTGTTGAGTCCAGGGGCATAGGAAGCATCAAAATATTGGGGTACCGGCTTCTAGGGGCACTTTAGGGTATTGAAAAGGGCACCTTTTCCCTATTGAAAAGGGCACCTTTTTTAAAAACTTGGAAATTTCCAAACAAAAAGGGGGCACCTTTGATGTTAATTTAGTATTTACAGCAACATTAGCTTGTACAAAAAGGGCACTTTTCATCACAAAAAAGGACACTTTTAGTCCTTTGAAAAAATTGGGGGGCACGTGCCCCCCCTCCCCATGCCCCCCGGTTCCTACGCCCCTGGTTGAGTATATCCTGTTGTTGTAATTTGTAACAGTGAGAGTTATGGAAACGTATTTGGATGGGACACAGAGTATAATACTTATGGTAACCAGTATCCAGAAATGGGATACCGGTACTGGATTCTCAGGGGGAATACTAAACTTTGAAGCCTTGTATCCCAGTTGGGTATTAAGAAAAAATTTTAATTTATTTATTTATTAACTTTACAACCATACATAAAATAGATTAAACCACTACATAATATGGTTGAAGGTATGGTCAACAGGACATGAATAGCCCCATGTGAAGACCAACCTTAAAATTTCAGACCCTGGTAGTGATAGCCGGAGTCAAATCTATTAAACCTCTCTATTAAAAAGCATGATGCACCGATGCATGGTATTAAATGGCAGATTGCATTGCCTGGAATTTCCTAGAAATTCATTGCCAGATACCCCTGGAAAATGGCTTTAATCACAGACCATCCCCTGGATTCTGGTCTCTAATCACCCCACCCCCTGCTGTGGTCTGCGATTTCCCAAGGTCTTTTACACCCCTCCCCTGGATTTTCCATTGTCCTCAACCCCCCCCCCCCCTTGTGCGGAAAATAAATGCAATCTGCCAATCACATGAACACATGTTACAAATCGTTTGTTAAATATACTAGAAATATAGACAATACACAATTTAAGATAATATAGTCGATGACTCAATATACAATATAGGAAAGATTCTGCAACAATCATATTATCAATAATGGTTATTGGCTTTTATTGCAGGATTTAGCCATATTTGTGATAGCATTCCGATGGTTTGTCAGAATTGGCAACACTACAAATTTCGCATTACAAAAACACGATTAGATATGCAGCCAATAGGATTACGAAATGAATATGTACAATCGAACGTTGTGATAGTAATTCCCGAAGCAATTTAACAACAAAAACAATGCCTACCTCAACGCACAACTTGCTACTTTGCACAAATTTGCAATCGATTAATATTGTTGCACTCCGATCTGCTCGACTGAATACAGCCATGCAGGTTTTAAGTTTCAATCTAATCTCTGGTTTCAAACTTTCAACATAGTATAAATATTTACATTTACGCCGAACGTAATCCGTAGAGTACCGACGTTTGCCGAGCTATTGTATTTTTTGGTCGGAATATTTCCGAATTTATCCGATGACAACTGAATCAAAATCAAAGCAACCACCCCCCGGGTACAAAAAAGCTGGACATTTATTTCCGGGGGGTTCATCTTCATTTGGAAGCAAACTCGTGAAGATACAATTTCCTGTTGTCCTCGCTAAACTACAACAAAATGGCATTTTTTCGCTACTTTTTGCGCGGAACATTTTATTTTATAGCTTTACCGACATTGAGTTTTACTGCTTTACGATTTGCCAAGGCCGAAAACCCTGAATTCAAAAACAGGGCTGAAAAAATACCTCGAATTGCGGTTGTAGGCAGTGGAATCGGTGGTTCTGCCACAGCGCATTTCTTGCGAGACATTCTGGGCGAAAATGCTCAAATTTCTGTCTTTGAGAAGGCAGATCGCGTTGGAGGCAGGCTGGCCACCCTGGATTTCGCTGGCGATACGTTTGAATCAGGGGGCAGCATCATTCATCCGAGGAATTTGTATATGAAGAAATTTGTGGAGATTTTAGGTAGGAATTTTATTGTATTTTCTGTTTTAATACTAGTTGTACACTAATTGACCTTTGACATCCAAGTTGACCTTCATGTGACCTTGCACCACAGAATAGCAACCTTACAGAAGGCCAACTCAGCAAAAAACATAATCACTGCCATGCCACGAATCATAATGATTCGTCATCAAAATGCACTTGCCAATAGACCTTTATAAAAAGTCTGCCTTGTGACATAGTTTGTGGATAAATTCAATCATTTGGCCAATCAGGCATTTCTTAACCAAATGGCTGTGCGTGGTTTTCCTTTATCCGCAAACTACGTCGCAAGGCAGACTTTTTAAAAAGGTCTATTGCCATGTTCCTAGTCAGTGCACTTACAAGACACATTCACCCTCCTGAAAGTGTTCAAGATGGTGCATGTTCAGGGGGGTAAATGCCTCTTGTAAGTGCACTGACTGGGATCATTTCGATGATGAATCATTGTGAATCATGGTGTGGTGGCAGTTGGCTTTCGGTATGGTCACCAACGTTGAAATTGCATTTTCAATCCTTTATCAATGTCTGGTAGATTATTTCCGACGTTGATTCAACCTTGAATAAACGTTGTTTTTCCCGCTGGGATGTGACCTGGGTACCGATACAAGGTTAATTAATATGTACAACCCTCACAGAGTTGAATCAATTTAGGTATGGAAACAAACAGTGCCTCTGGCGGCATATTCTCACTTTACGATGGGAACAACATCATTTTTTCAACGAGCTCCTGGTCATGGCTAACTTCGTTGAAACTCTTCTGGCGGTATGGTTTTAGTTTGGTAAAGATGGAACAGGCCACAAAGAATCTTCTCAACAAATTTGAAAATATTTACAAGCTCCAGGACAATGGTGAAATATTTCAGTCCGTCCCAGAGTTGTTGCAAGCCATGTGTAAAAGCGAGGAGTTTTACAGGTTGACGCAGATTACTGCTCGGGAATATTTATCAGAACAAGGTCTCTCTGAGCTACTTATTGATGAGCTCGTTACAGCTATAACGAGGATTAATTATGGCCAAAGTACCAACGTTAATGCATTTACAGGTAGGTTTGTGACTCTATGTCCACCTGAGCTTATCTGTCTGTTTGTTTGTTTGTCAAAACCCAGAACTCCAAAATTCCTTTTCAAATGCCAAAACTCCCTTTTCAAATGCCAAAACTCCCTTTTCAAATGCCAAAACTCCCTTTCAAATGTCCGAACTCTGTTTTCAAATGCCAGAACTCCGTTTTCAAATGCCAGAACTCCGTTTTCAAATGCCAAAACTCCCTTTTCAAATGCCAAAATTCCCTTTTCGAATGCCAGAACTCCCTTTTCAAATTCCAGAACTCTGGTTTCAAATGTCCGAACTCTGTTTTCAAATGCCAGAACTCCGTTTTCAAACGCCAAAACTCCCTTTTCAAATGCCAAAATTCCCTTTTCGAATGCCAGAACTCCCTTTTCAAATTCCAGAACTCTGTTTTCAAATGCCAGAACTCTGTTTTCAAATGCCAGAACTCCGTTTCCAAAAGCCTGAACTCCGTTTTCAACTGCCTGAACTCCGTTTTCAACTGCCAGAACTCTGTTTTCAAATGCCAGAACTCTGTTTTCAAATGCCAGAACTCAGTTCTCAAATGCCAAAACTCCCTTTTCAAATGCCAGAACTCCGTTTCCAAAAGCCTGAACTCCGTTTTCAACTGCCAGAACTCTGTTTTCAAATGCCAGAACTCTGTTTTCAAATGCCAGAACTCAGTTCTCAAATGCCAAAACTCCCTTTTCAAATGCCAGAACTCCGTTTCCAAAAGCCTGAACTCCGTTTTCAACTGCCAGAACTCTGTTTTCAAATGCCAAAACTCCCTTTTCAAATGCCAGAACTCCCTTTAGAAATGCCAGAACTCCCTTTTCAAAAGCCAGAACTACCTTTTCAAATGACAGAACTCCGTTTTCAAATGCCAGAACTCTGTTTTCAAATGCCAGAACTCTGTTTTCAAATGCCAGAACTCAGTTCTCAAATGCCAAAACTCCCTTTTCAAATGCCAGAACTCCCTTTAGAAATGCCA